CTGTTTTGCATGACATCATACCCTAATTTCCAAAAAGCTTTAGAATCTTTGTGCAGAACATACAACTAATAGATATCTGATCCTTCAAAATTAAAAAATGAACACAAATGTTTAACCACTTTTATTAACAAGAATCAAAGAAGAAAAATAATAAAGCTTGTAAATATTTCTGTTCTTTCTAATTAAAATCTTATTTTATAAGAGATAAATTTTTTTTTTAAAACAAGAAGTGTGGGTTACAAGTTCTCAGCCGATATCTGTCTTCGATAAACATTTGCAGAGTATTCTACCAAGGGCAGCATCATTTTAAAGGTTATGCTTGCAATAGGTTGCTTAAAAACATAGACAGCTTTGAGCTGTTTTTTCAGGAGTCCAGTCTTGGAAATTCTGCTGCCAAATATATTAAGGTACTTAGAGATTTTATAAAAATTGTCTGCAGCTGTTTTAGAAAATCATAAAGCTCTACTTTTGTAAAAGAAATAGAGTAGTTCTCTACAAGCTATAGAAATCTAAGGGCTATGATTTCTTTGAAGGTATCGTAGCCACTAATTTTTATACATTAAAGCCTCTAGTATCATATAATAGGTAGAACATGCAAGGAGTGTTGCTATATCAACTGATAAACAGGTAGAACATGTGAGGAATGTTGCTACATGGACTAACATAGGTAAAACATGCAAGGAATGCTTTTTATTAATACATTAAGTTCTTTTTGTAGAGTTAAAGTTTGATTTGTAGGATTTACTTGCAGTTGCTTAATAATTTTAAAACTACTAACACCAAAAAGTCAAAATGTCAACATGTCTGCAAAAGTTTTTGTATTGGTGGATTGCATTTTTGTAGAGTTTTGAGGATTGGTTTTATAAATTTATTATTGCATAATAAATTTATAAAACCTGTTCTCCACCATTCATTAATTCTAATCATTAAATTATTTATTATTCTTTTTCTTATCAAAAAAGCTTTCTCAAACATGAATTTTAACATTGTGTAAGTGCTTAATAGTGTTATATCTTCTCAGCTAAGATTTTCTAAAGCTTAACAGCCTCAGATACAGGCCTCAAGTAGCCTCAGGCACAGGCCTTTAGTATACTTTTTAAAGCATAAATTAAACAAAGTCTAGTTTATTTGCTAATCTTAAATCTGCCATAAATTCTAATAAAGTTTTTCAAGTTGAGTCTATTTTTACATCGAAGTGAAGTTTGTTACAATAAAAGCATGAAAAATGGTTAACTCATTGTTGCAATAATTTTAATTTAAAAAAATAAATGGAAAAACAGTAAAAACATTCTTTTATAAACCTTTTTTTTTTTTTTTTTTCTTAAAAAACAGTAGTTCGCTGTTTTTAATTTTTCTAAAAAAAAATTAGCTGTTTTCTGTTTTCTGTTAAAAACCTGAGAAAAGAAGCCTGAAAAGGCTGCATAAATCTAATAACTTCTTATAGAAAAAAAACAAAGTTATATGCTCTCTTTTACCTTTCCTCAATGGATACCCCATCCTATAAAATCAGTTAAGCATAGTTAAGCTCCTTCTCCTCCTTCCCCCCACTTTACTTTTACCTCCTTTTTTACTGTTGACTACAAGTACCTCTCTGTAGCAACACATAACAAACAGTAAGAAATTTTTAAAATTTACTTTTAAAAACTAATTTTTCAAACTTCAAAATTGATACTGTTGACTTTTTGCCTGAAAATCTTTTTTTTTCTTCTAAAAGTAGTTCAAAAACCTTTTTACATTTTTGGATCTCCTTGATACTAAACACCAGGAAGAAATAATCATTTTTGTGACTTCAATAAGGTCAGTTGAATAAAAAAACTTAAACAAAGCTTTTTGAAGTTTTAAAAATTTACTTTTGAAAATAATTTTTTAAACTTTAATGACAAATTACTTCAGGAACCCATCAATATGATGACATCACTTTTGAACTGAAAGAATATAAACAATCATGTTCCAGTTTGAACTTTGAATTTCGGAACTCCAGGTTCAAAAATAATGAATTCCAAGACTCTTAAAGAATTTTATTGTTCTTATATTCAGAAATTTTTAAATATTTTAGGCATTTTAAAGGGATCCTCATATGCTAAGACAAGTTGTATTTATTTTTAATATGAGGTTTTTTAACAGTTTTTTAAATTTGTGAAAAAGTTATTAAAGCATTATTTAAATATATTTATGGGGTTTCTTCAAATGAATCTGATATCAACACTCCTTCCCTGCTTTTCAGACTTGATATTGATTACACCTATTATGGATATAGTTCAATCCAGTCTGTTATAAACCTTTTGTGCTCTGTTATGCACAAAAACCAACATAGCTTAGAAACTAAGTTAATACCATGTAAATTAGTTTTTCAGTAAAAAAAAAAAAAAAGCAACAGATTCTTTTAAAAATAGCTTTTAAGGTGTTCCAAGAAGACCTTACTAAGGTCTTACTTACTAAGGTCTTACCACAGAGCACTGTGGATAAGCATTTAAAAAGGAAGTTCACGCCACCTTCCTTAGAAAAATGTTGCCTATATAGCCAGAACTCACATTTAACATCTAAAACCTTAACCACTAAGCCACGGCTTATTTTATTTGATTTAAAACACATGCGTTAATATTGTTTCATTTTTTATTTTTCAACACAACAGAGACATTTTTTTTCAATTAACAGAGTTATGCTGTATCTATATTTGCCTCATTGGTCAACAGCAACTCTTTAATTTTGATGCATATAACAAAAAAATTACATTACCAACTGTATCATTTCTTATATGCTTTGTATATTATCATTGTATATTATCATTACCATATTTTTAAGAAGTTTATATCTATAATTTTATCATTATTTTTAAGAGGTTCAAACTAGTATGAAGTTATAAAAAGTTCAATTGTTTAGTTGTCAAATGGCAAATGCAAAATACAACAAGATTACCATGTTATCTGTGTCCAAAAAAATAAAACTCAGCAAGTTAGACTAAACTAATATAACTGTTAATAAAGTGTTTCTCACAAACTTCTAACATTTTTTCATATATAAGAAATTTATTATTTTTCATGTCATTTCTAAATTTTTTTTCATACAATGTTTTTTAATAAATAAAAATCATGAAACCAAATAAGAGACACTATCAAAAATTTATCTATAATCTAAAAGTAATAGTTATTCAATAGATCTATAAGTAATTCAGTTTAATGGATGATTTGAGGTTGAATGCTCATTTTAATTTTGCAAAATGTCTGCAGTAATGTTATAAAATGAAACCTTTTATAATAATAAAATGAAAATCAATCATTTTATTATAACAACTAAAAAAAAAACAAATAAAAAATGGCAAAGCTTGAGTAAACTAAACCACTTAAAAAACCTTCAAAGTTAGAGTAATATTAGGCATAAAAACGGAAAGAAGATGGCAAAGAAATAAATCAATGGAAACATTTTTTTTTATAATTTGAAAAATAATTTTAGAATAGAATAGAAATATGCTGTACACTCAATTTCTTGAGTGTTGAGTCCAAACTATGCAAAGTTCGAGACTGTAACAGCTGTAACAAAACAAAATAGCTTTAAAAAATAATCGCTAATATTTAAAATGTTTGTCTATTCTGTTTTTAAATTGATTGATGGTACTTGCATCTATTGCATTTCGATCAAGATTGTTCCACTCTATTTGTAAAGAAACCACTCTATTTGTAAAGAAACCACTCTATTTATAAAGAAGTAAAATCTTTTCATGTTGCTTGTTAATTGCCTTCTTAATTTTAAATTGTAACCCCTTGTTTTTCTTTCATTATCAATAATTTCTGGTGAACGGTAAAAATTAATTATGTCATATCCTTTAAAATATTTGAACATTTGAATTAAATCCCCTCTTCTTCTTCTATTTTCGAGCAATAATAGATCTAGTTTTTAAAGTCTATCTTCATAGCTTTACCCTCGTAAACTTTCGATTCTAGTGTTATGTCGTTCATAAATACAACAAATAAGAAAGGACCTAAAACTGAACCTTGTGGTACGCCGCTTACAACTTCCTCCCAATCTGATTCAAAACTACCTAATACCACTCTCTGCGATCTGTTTTTTAAGAAGCCTCTACACCAGTTTAATACTTTCGATTAAAATCCAAGGCTTTTTAATTTAAATAATAACTTCTCATGGTCTACCGAGTCAAATGAAAAAAGTTGGCTATTCATGATTCAGAAATAGGATCATGAATAGCCAACCTTCATTAACTGAGCTTGTAATATAATCGAATGTTTTCAACAAATTTGATACACAACTTTTTTTGTTTACAAAGCCATGTTGGTTCACGTTAATTAAATTGTTATTTGTTAGATGTTTCATCATCTAATCCCTAACGATCCTCTCCATTGTTTTACACACAATAAATGTCAATGAGACAGGTCTATAGTTAGTTGGATCAAGTTTGTTCCCTTTTTTAAATAATAGAATAATATTGGCGCATGACCAAGTTATAGGTATTGTTCCTGATTGAAATGATTTGTTAAATATGATTGATAATGGTTCTGACAATACATCTGAGCATTCCCTGAGAACTCTTGGGCAATTTATCTAGTCCTGTTGCTTTATTTGTGTCTAATTTATTTAAGTAGCTTTTAATTATTGTTTTATTAAATTCAGGGTCTTGACAACAGCTTGAAGTTTTCATAAAGTTTGTTGGAATTTGAGAACTGTTATTTTTAATTTTAGATTATTTTTGGAAAGATTATTTAACTCAAAAACTATTTTCTAATGATAATCTGTGAAGTGATAATGATAATCTATGAAATAAACACTTGTCCTGAGCTCTAATCCTAAAGGAACTTGATAATCTCTTTAGGACTAGATCTCAGATAGAAATAGAATCTTTACCTCTAAACTCTAGAGCTATTGATAAAGCTTTTAACTCATGAAGGGAAATGTTGGTATCAAATGATTTAAAGTTTATGAGCTTATGAGGTGTAATATCTATTCATGAGAAATAAGATTATATAGAATAATAAAGATTTATCTCTCACTTTTAGCTTTTTTACATATTGAACAACTTTGAGTGGTCGTAGTACTCTGAACACACGAACAACTTTTAAAGCAATGTTGCCTTTTTGTAACCTAAAAATGTATAAATACAATATATTTTATGTAATTACAATATTTCTTTAAATTATCATTACAACAAAAATGGAAAAATAAATAAAACAGTACTAGTTAATATAACAACTCATAAAAAGAAATTTAAACAAAAAATTAAATTGTAAATAGTAAGTTTTACAAAATAAAATAAAATAAAAAATAAATAAAAAAACACAAACATATTTGAAAGAATAATTGAAAGTAAACTATTAAAAAAAACAAATGCATCAAGTCTGTTCCACGAATCACGAAGAAATGATCCTTTTTGCAAAATAAAACCAGAATCAACTATCTAAAAACGTTTTTTCTATATAAACAACCCAAGAAACAAAAATTTAAATTTTTTTTATTATTATAAAGTTTAATGATACAAACATTTTCATATAATTATATATATATATATATATATATATATATATATATATATATATATATATATATATATATATATATATATATATATATATATATACATATATATATATATATACATATATATATATATATACATATATATGCAAGTGTATATATATGAATAAAGAAAATAGTTTTATATTATCAAGTATAATATTGTATAACTAAAAGTGTGAAAAATAGATAAACTAGAAGTATACAGTATATATGTTACTGCTACCCGCAGTACCAGGAATTAGCTAAATGCTAATGTTTATAACATAATATAATTTAAATTGCAACTCTGAGTTTCATGTGTTACCACAACCTTCAGTAACAACCTTCAGGCAAGAAATAAAAATTTAATTTTGCTACAATTTATTTTATGGACGTTATGGTTTATATTTATATTTTAGATTGTTATGGGACGGAAATTGTTTAATAACTTAATGTTATTATTAATTCGCTTTTATTTAGCTAATAGTTGTAAATTAGTTCAATATTTTTAAAAATATTTGGTTATGTAATAATGTGCATTATTTATATATTAAAAAATATATAAAACTGAAAATTGATATAAATATATAAATAATATTACGAAATATCTTACAATAGATGTGTGTGAATAATTTATTCGTTAGCTTAGAGATATATGAAGTAGAGTAATATAGTTATTGTTAGTTAATAGTTAGGTTTGTATTAAGTTTTGTAATTTTTTAATAAGAATTTGTTTTTGTGGCGGCAATTTGATATAATTTTTGTCCTTTTATTGAGCAGTTCCTTGGGTATTGAATACAATATAATAGCGAATTTCTCATATAGACATAAAGAGTACCTTTTGGAAATATTTGAGTAGAAGGGTACAGACTTCAGATAAGACCATGTTAATTCATTAAAATTGTTTTTCAAATCCCAGACGTAATTTGATGGGGTAACGGATTTTTTGTATTTAATATTACCGAATGATGATTTGCGGTTGTTATACCTGATTTTCCATTCACCTTCTGTTAACTTGATATAAATTTTATTGGGTTGGTTTTTAGCTAAAATGATGCTTTTGTATATAATGCTTGTAGATTTGAACTTATCATTTAGAGGGCATTCTTTTTTATTTTGACAGTTGCATTTTGGGTCATTATTTTTAATTCTTAGAAAGATTATTTTTTTGTTGTGGTTTTTTATAATTTTTTTGATATTTTCAGTTCAGCTGTAGCTTATCTATACAGTATTTCTGTTTAAGATTTTGTGAAGTTTGTGAGTTTTAAAGAAGTTTTTTTCTAGTATATTATAGCAACATTTGTGAAAACGTTTTTTGTTATATGGGGGTTAAACCATATGATATTGCATTTTTTGATTTTTTTGAGTTGTTATTTGTTTGATCAGTTTGATTTGCTTGACAATACAATATTCAATAATTAGTTTTGTAATAAGTCATTTAATTAAGTTAATTTAATTAAGTTTATTTTTTATATGGAAAAAAGAATACTTTTAAAATAAGTATATTGATTGTTTTCATACTTATACACGTGTTTAGCATATTTGGATAAGACGTTGACTTCATAAACGGAATGTATGTGGTTCGAGACCCGCATCTTCCTGAACTTTTTTGTTTTTTTACACATGCATACAGCCGAATGTTAATAAAATAAAACAGTAATATCAGAAAAAATTGATTGCAAAGTTTGTGTTTAATAACATATAAAAGCATTGGGTTTTAAAAATTTGTTTTTAAATTTACTTGTTTAGTGTTTGTTCATATTCAATTTTTGACTGGTTAAACATAACTTCGTTTGAGGAATTTTGCTTAAGACTGTTGCATATTGAAGTAGGTAAGTGTTTGATTATTTGTGGTGGGTGATTAGAAGACGTGAGAATGTATTGAAAATTATCAATGGGTTTTTTGAAAGGCTTATGGGTGTTTTGTGCTAAATTAAAGGTGACATCATGAAAGTTAACTGTTTTAAGATTTATTTTTATACTACAACAATGGATAAAAAAAACTGAATCATGAAAGTTTTGATGTAACAATGGTCAGCTACAATGGTGCTGAAGTTTGTGAACTTGTAGAGATTTTTTTTTTTCTTGTGTTTTTCTTTTAAGACAATTTGTACAAGCATTTTTTTTCTTATGTTAATCTAAATTACAATTTAAATTTTTATTATTTTTTTAATCTAATACTTTTGATGCAGTCTTTTGTGAGAATCGGTTAAACAGGTGATTAATATCATAAGTGTTATTCTCCATACCATCTTATAAATAGTACTACATGATTTGCTCATTGAGAACCTTTCCAAATTGTCTAAGGTACTCATTGTTTTTTTGTCACAAATTCAAATTGCTGCAGAGCTGTGAAGATCATAGATTCCTGGGATGGGCATGTGAACTGTAGAAATATTTTCAGCAGAAATTTTCACTGAAAAGTCGTGAAATTTTTGAAGAATCGGTAAGATTTCTTTTAAGATCTTGAAATGTGCATTATTTGGAATTCATCTATTGTGTGGTAATCTCCAATTAAGACTTTCAGTGCTTTTTTGATGCCTGATTTCACATACTTAAACTGTTTCACCAGGTCTTACAGGGTAAGATGACTTTTTTGCAGTTGGCTCTCAGGTTAGTACAACTTTTTTTAACTTTTGTACATGATAATGTAATTATTTTATTATAATTATTATTTGATTAAGGTCTGTGACTTCTTAGGCCTTAGTTTAAAATGCTCCATTTTCCTCAAACTGCGTGTTAATAACTCGATATTTCGCTTTAAGATGTGTTGGAAGAGTTGTTTTAATATTACTCTTGTTTTGACTCTAAAACACATTAAAAACCAAGATCGCAAATAAAACAAGTTGACAAGACATACCAGAGAAAAAAGCTGATTACACAAAAGCCTAAAAAAAAACACACTACTATTGTAGTATACTTGACAAACTATAACACTACAAATTAATTTATAACACTACTATTAAATAGTAACAATAGCCAAAAAGTGAAAAAAATAGATAAATGTAAAAAAATGTGAAACAAGCTAAAACAATATTTTTTATCATAATCTTTGACTGTGGTGCCACAGTTTCCAAATGACTCCTGTAGAAGGCTATATAACAGACTTCAAAAAAAGGACTCCTTAAAAAAAGAATTCTACTCCTAAAATTGAGTAAAGTTTTATAATTTGGGGGCAATTATTAAAAGTTTTTATGACTTTTTATTAAAATATAGGGAATGAAATTTAGAGTTTATGAATTATTTTATTATCAATTATCAAATTTAAATGTCAAAACAGAATTATCTAAGCCCTCCAATAATAAATTTTTTTAAATATAGAAAGATGCCATACTGAATGGTGTATTTGGACTTGTTTTGCTTTATTTGTATTTTATTGTTTATATGTATTGGATTGTTTTCTTTAGCAATTGTTGAATCTGAGAATATTGCTTTAAAAAATATTCTAAAAATATCTCAATTGGTCAAGTTAAAAGAAAAGTTAGACTCAATACACTTTAAATTATGATTTGAAAATCTTTTTCTCAGAAGTGTAACTTTGAAGCTTTTAAATTAAGCATTTCATGGTTCTCTTTACTAAATTCTAATTTCCTTTTCCTTCTTTAAACCTTGATTATATGAAGTTTGCTGATTGCATGGCTTCTTAGTAGTTCAGCCCACTTCCACTGACTGAAAAAGTTTTCTGGCATAGCTTGCAACTCACAGAACAATGATGAATTGGATCAAAGTATGTCCTGGTAGGACATACTTCTATCTAGTTAAACTCAGTAAAAATTTTATCAAGGTAAGAAACACAAACCATACCATACTTGCATACACAGTCTGTAAACAAAGGCAATATTTATACACACACAATTTTATAGCAATTTAGGACATTAGTTAATTATGAAATTTTATGACAAAACATCAAAATCATCAAAATTTAGGACATTTTGGGATTTCGAGATGGAGTAGGATATCTAATAATAATGTTTAGCTTAAATAATTTAAAAATTAAAAGTTGTGCACACATGATAAACATAATCACACATATGAGGGCAATCCAAAATCAGTAAAAATAACTTAAAAGTATTCAGCAGTTCTACAATAGAACAATTTTTTTTATATCAAACAACCTAAAATCTAAAGAAGCTGGTAATGCAACCTGTTCACAAAAATATAGACTCAAAAACTCAAAAAGAATTAGGTAGTAAGAACAAAAGGTTTGTTTTATAAAGTATTATACACAAATCATGTTAGATCTTTTGCCATTGCCTAAACATCTTTTCTTCAAGGTGACATTAAAAAAAACTGGAGCAACCAAAAAGAAAGTAAAGATAATAAGAAATTTATCTTATAAAAAAAAATTAATTTGTAACAACAATATTTAATTCTGTAATAATGCAAACAATATAACCTGCAGTTATGTATTGAACTAACTTTTTTCTTTTAAACTTAAAAAATTGCTGACTTGAAAGATTGCAAATATAAATCAGAAAAGCAGGTTGATAGGAGCGAAATGCAAAGAACTGATGTTTGAGGAAAAAAACTAGATGAATAGGAATTTTTGGAGCACTTAGAAACAGCCACAGTAAAAAGATGAGACTTAATTAAATGATGATGAACACAAGAATGAATTTTAGTAGATGGCACAAGAAACACTAGTTCTTTAGAACAACGCTTATTATAGTATTTATAGAAAAGAGAAAGAGAAGCAACATTACTACAATGTCACAATGGTTGAAGGTTGGCTGCAAGAGCAGGTCTAACTATGTTTACAATCCATTTTTGCACCTTGTCTAAAAGAGAAAGTGAGTCATTCAAAGATCTGCTCCAGATATAACAACAGGTTTCCATAAAAGGTTGGATTTGAGATTTATAGAGATAAAGAATAGAATCCAGAGTAAGAAAGTGGGGATCAGGATAAAGAGATGCAACTTTAGCTAATGCTAATTTTGAAACAGATTTGATAGATTGTTTCCAAGATATAAGTCATCAAAAGCCACCATGATTTTTTGACTCGGATTGTAGGCCTGCAGGATTCCAAAAGACGATCCATCAAATCAATTTCATCCATTCCCTTGTTGAAAAGATTTATTAGGTTGGGTTAATTTACTTCTGTATTTCCTTTAGTTTTCACTCACCTTTTTACTTTGTGCACTGGTTCATGTGTAAAATAGTTGCTTGCAACAGTCACAATACTATTTTCATGCCATTTGCAGACAAAGACTTTACCATTGCAACAATAGTCATAAGTATCTCTATTTTTCCCTTTCAGTTCTTTTTTGGATATCATTACTTTTGAGGTATCATCTGTTCTATTTTCACAGATAGTTCCTGTAACAATAAAACTCTCCTCTAAAATTAATTTCATTGACTTTCCATTTGTGAAAAAATTTTAAAAATATATTTTATGAAATTTTGGACAAATTTTTTGCTTCACTACTTCTAGCATATCTTAAACAACTTGCTGACCTAAAGGTATCTCAAATCTTCTAGTAGAATCTGTTTCAGTATAAATTTGTAGTTTATATCCATTTAAACTCTATCGTTTCCACATAAAGCCCAAAGCTTGTACCCAAAACATATTGGCTTTCTTTTTATGTACATTTTAGAACAGTGTTCGCCAAAAAGCAATCTAAATATTTTCGTATTTAAAGCATGCATATAAATATGAGTAAATGATATGTAGTAATTACAACTGGGAACAATTATTTTTTGCTCAAAAAGCATTCAAATATTTGGAATTGAGTTGTGAAGACTCATCTTGAGAGGTCCCAAAACTCCAAGATTTTGTGGTTTTGATAAATTTTAAAAATATACTAGTTTTTATAAAAACGTTACCAAATTTGATATAAAAAAGCTATCAACATTCAAATTAAAGATGACAATAGGTAATTATGAAAACACAAAACATAAACTAATTTTAACATTTTCTTTATGCAGTGTTTCCATATGAAAACATTAGACGCTAAAAGGTTAAAAAAAGTATAGGGCTAAGGATAAAACCATAACGAACCTCTTAAGTTACAGGAAATGAAGACGATTACTGTCAATTTTTATACTACAAATAGTTAGAAAAGATTCAATAGTCTTAAAGATTTTATCTGATACATCGAAAAAAGAGAGCTTATGGAGAAGACCAACATGTCAAACTTTATGAAAGGCTTTGGAAAAGTCGAGAGCAATTCCATAACCTCTCCGGATCAATCTAATGCATGATAAAAGCTATTGCGTGATAATGTATGATGAAAGCTATTGGTTATTGTTGTTAAAAAATCATCTGTAGAACGAGAAGATTGAAATACTGATGATCATAAAGTTATTAGATTCAAGATGAGAGATTAATTGTTTGATAATCAAAGATTCAAAAACTTTGTTTATGATAGGAAGAAGACTAATGGGACGGTTGTTAGACAAGTCATATTGCTCTCTTCTTTTATCCTTATTTTAAAATTTTGAAAATAAAGATAAAAGATGCTGCTTTTTAACAGGCTGAAAAACAAAGACTCTGATGAGCAATAGTTAAAAAGTTTTGATACAGAGTTCACTTTAGATACAGAAGGAGTAATATGAATGTGAAGCAATAGATCAACCTATATTCCATTTAATATATAAGCAATATAAACGATATTGTCATTATTAAAATATTGTAATACAAACAATATAAATAATATTGTCATTATTATACCTTTAAATAATTGTAATAAATCATAATTATACAGTATAAATTATTATGCAATATGAAATATCATAACTAATTAACAATATGTAATATTGATGACATTTGTTTGATGGGATAAACAAGTTTTGATCCTCATTGAAACGCCAGTAATAATTGACGCGACTCTAAGACGCGACTCTAAGACGCAACTCTAAGGAGATGTTTATTTTTTTTTTTTTTTTTATTTGCATTCACTCCCAACAAGGCTGCAAGCAACCACTTTTAAGTTGGGAGTTATTAGGAAAAAAAAGAACAGAGTTATATAGCAAGGAAACGGTTGATAGAAGACTTGAAAAGTTGAAGGTTGTATGAGTCAGGAAAACATGAAGATGGGAGAGAGTTCCAAAGGATTGAAGTGCGGGGAAAAAAACTAGATGAATAAAAGTTTTTAGAGCATGCAGGGACAGATACAGTAAATGAATGAGACTTAGCTGAATGACGAGTAAAACAAGAATGAATTTTAGTTGATGAAACTAGAGATGATAACTCCTTTGAGCAGTGACCATGATAGTATTTGTAGAAAAGAGAAAGAGATGCAACTTTACAACGATGGGAAAGAGGTTCAAGCTTAGCAGATAGTCCAGGTCCAACAACATTTACAATGCGATTTTGGACCTTGTCAAGAAGAGAAAGTGAATCGTTAGAAGAACCAGCCCAAATATGACAACAGTATTCCATACAGGGACGAATAAGAGATTTGTAGAGGTAGAGAATGGAATCAGAAGTAAGGAAATGGCGAGCACGATAAAGAGAAGCAACTTTGCAGAAGCTAATTTAGCAATCGATTGTATATATGGTTTCCATGAAAGGTCAGTAGTAAGCGATAATCCAAGAAGACGTAAAGAGGACGACTCAGTAAGAGGATTGCCATTCATTAATATAGGAATGTTGACCATATTATGGTAGTTGTTTGCAGTAAGCAATTGAGTTTTTTTAGAGTTGAAATTCACAAGCCACTGTGAACCCCAATCTATTACTAAAGTGAGATCGGATTCAAGATCAGCTGCTTGTTCTAGGCGATCAAAAAGAGAAGACTTTTTGTCAAGACAGGAGTATAAAGTTGAGTCATCAGCAAAAAGAGCTACTTTAGATGAAAGGTTGTCAGGAAGATCGTTTATGTAGATAAGATACAAAACAGGGCCGAGGATGGAACCTTGGGGAACCCCAGAAGTTACTGGAAATAAAGAAGAGTGTTGGCCTTCAAGGAAGACTTTAATAAACCGGTTAGAAAGAAATGATTTGGTAATCTCAAAAACTTTCCCAGAAACACCATATGAAGCAAGCTTATGGAGAAGACCAGCATGCCAAACTTTGTCGAAAGCTTTAGATATGTCGAGAGCAATAGCCCTAGCCTCACCGCCTCCATATAATGCACAATAAAATCTTTCAGTTACAGCAGTTAGCAAGTCGGCCGTAGAGCGAGAGGATCGAAAACCGTATTGATTGTCTGATAGTAGTTTATTTGACTCAAGATGAGATGTGAGGAATTTGTTGATCAAAGACTCAAAGACCTTGCTAATAACAGAAAGAAGACTGATTGGACGATAATTGGAGGGGTCAGAATTTTCTCCAGAGTTTTTGAATATTGGAACTACAGATGCCATTTTCCAACAAGCAGGAAAACAAGACTCAGTCAAACACTTGTTAAATAGTTTAGAGAGAATTGAAGAAAGTTCTGGAGAACAATTCTGCAAGACTGTGACAGGAATGTTGTCTGGACCACAAGCTGTAGACGAGTTTAATTGAGATATGACTTTAGCAACAGAAGCCGGAGTGATTTGAATGTCTAACAATGGGTCAACCTGTTTGACTGGAATGAAAGGAAGAGAATGCCCATAAGATTCAAGAGTGGAATTAGAAGAAAAGTTCTTTGCAAATAGTTCTGCCTTATCCTTGGGAGAGGTTATAAGATCAGTCCCATGAATGAGAGATGGAATGTTAGATCTACCCTTGTTAATAATGCTGTTGAAGATTTTCCAAAAGTTACTTAATCACTACACAAATTATGTTTACACATTAGCATTAATGTTTTTTGTTTCCATTCTGAAGCCTTCCATTGTTGTTAGCATACTTTTTATTATTTTATTTTGTGATCGGTTTTTTATTTTATTAGTTTTTTGTCTGGTGATGTATTTGTTGTACATCTTTGTTCACATTGGTGTTTATAAAACTATTTTTTTATTGTTATTGTTGTTGAGTACTGTTTTGGGTGTATGTCTTATTTATTTTTAAATATTCCTCAATTATCATATAGTCAAAATATGATTTGTTTAATTAATGATTTTCATTTATTCTAATGTATTTCATTTCTTCCCTCAGGCGTTCACTGCTCCTGTGTGACCATTTGGCGAATTTTTTATGCCAAAGTTTTTAAATAATTATTATGCAATATGAAATGTCATAACTAATTAACATTATGAAATTAGTTAATTAAAAATAAAACAACCTTAAGAAAAATCTCAATTCCAAAAATGGCTGTAAAAATAGGATCGCACTTTCTGCTAATCTAAAAAAATGTAATAGTGAAAGTTTCATCTTTATGATTTGAATATTTTAAATAATTCATACAAGATTTTATCTCATAAAAGCAAGTGATAGTGTGCATGTAACCAAAAAATAATGTAATTATTTTGTTTTCATAAATAAATTATTTAAATTATTTAAAATAATTACAATAATCTAAAAATAATTAAATATAAAAAAATAACTTACATTATTAAGATAAGAATCAAGATTTATTGGATCTTCAATTGCTAGCACTAATGAACGAACCAATATAATTGCAATCATTCCTAAATCAAAATATTTTGACCGGACTATTGAATGACAAAGCACACGAAACCTAAAAATACAATCCAACCTAATGATTTTTTCTTTTTTTAATTTGTTTAAAATATAAAAATATTCAATAAATAGTATAAATACCTATTTGTAGAAGAGAAAATAAAAAGAGAAGAGTCGCTGAACAAAATAAAATTATCAATTGATTTTTTTTTATTGACAATACTATTCTTGAATGTCTTGAAAAATCCTTGTTTAACAATGTTCGATTCAAAATTATCTGAAAAAAAAAATTCATTTTATGTTTAATGCTGCATAATAAAAATTTGAAAAAAAAAATCAAGTTTGCAAAACATATGGTGTCAGTGACATAACCAGCAGTTATTTCTGATACGCTGGTTCCTAAGTTATTTCCGATACACTGGTTCCTAAATATTTATAGAGATATTCTTCAAACAAAGTTAAAGGTCGTTTTTTTTTTTGTTGCAATAATGCTATTCAAACAAGTATAAGTCTAAAGTGTGAAAAATTATGTGAAAATGCAGAAGAAAAATGTATATATCATTATGGTCATGATGTTACTGATGTTAATTGTTGTTAACTGTAAACTATAATTTTAAAAATATTGACAGATATATCACATGAAAAGAGCTAATGAAGAAAACCAGCATGTCTGAATTTAATGAAAACTTTGAATGTTAGGAACAGTAGTTCATGTCCCATTTTAAATGCCAAGTAAAACCTTTCTGTTACTACTATTAATTAATTATAAAGTATACTAATTTACCTGTAAAGTTCAAAGAACCTTTAGTGTTGAACAACTTTTTTTCTGCATTATTGATTTCATTAAAAGTTGTATTGGTTTTTTTAGGTAATACATCTTTTGACATTTCAACATTCTTGTCAAATTTTAATTCCAAGTTATTTACTTGAATAATTTTTTTTGGATTAAAATCACTCTTTAAGTTCTAAAACAAGAAAATAACTAGAAAAACTTCAAAACATTTTAAAACTTATGTTTCTATAATTAATCAGATTGATAAACATACAATTAGAAAAAGGTTGTCACCTTTGTTGTTGAATAAATAAATTATATTTAATAAATTTAAAACAAGCTTAATAAGTAACTTAATAAATAATTAAATACTTTTTTATGATTTTTTTTTTAGCTTTCTAGTGGTTAAGGATAATATTAGAACACTTCCAATTATCTTGCCTCAAAGTGTCAAACTCAAAGACTTGTCTTCAAAGCAACTCTTTGAGTTTGAACTTCACTATTTCCACAGTAGTACAAATATATCTTGTTTAAAAATTTTATTTTTGAATTAATGATGTTAATAGAGTGTTAAGTAAGAAAAATGTAAGTTTAACTGCAGTGTCTACACTTTAACATGACACCTACACTTTCAAACATTTGGAATTACAATGAAACTAATTTAACTGATGATCTTGGCAACAGGTAATAACAAAACAATCCAAATGGTCTTAGAAGATTAGGATTAAAATTTTTTTAGAATTCAACAAAGTCTACAACATCTTTGATGTATTGTGGAAATGCAGAGGAAAGTATCATTACCCAATGTATTGTTTATATAACAACCTGCTTTATAGACATACAATCAGTAGGAATCTTACAGATAACACATTTTCAATGTTTTGTCTATAAAGCAGATTTAATGTAAACAATAAGGGCAGACAAAAGGGAGCACATCATAATCACTTCAAGAGTGGATTTAATTCCAACTGTTTTACAGATAGGTTAAAATCTTTACTGTTGTCTGAACTAAAAAACTCCTATTTGAATACATATTATAATTTGAGAAAATTTGTCATCATATTAAAATATATTCGTATGTCCATTTGTGAAAAAATTTATTACACTTCCATTAAATTCCACAAAATTGTTGCAGTCATTGGATATTAAATATTTCGACCTAAAAAAGCCTTGTTGAGAAAATGCTATAAAAGCCTAGTTGAGAAAAACTTTAAAAGAAAGTGAGAAAGTATATGAAGATATGACAATTTTTGTCAGTAATTGTTTCAAACAACAGTTAGTTGAGGCAGGAGACAATGATTATATATTTTGATATATAAATTGTATCAAGTGTCAATTGATATAGGAAAAGTGTCATTAATCTCTCAAAAGTGTCAATTAATGTATCAAAAGTATCAATTTCTGTATCAAAAGTGATTTCCTGCTTAGACTCTTCTACAGCTAGTGGTCCAGACAACATACCTGCTGTAGTCTTGCAGAAGTGTTCTCCGGAGCTGTCATCCATACTTTCAAAACTATTCAACAAGTGCTTACCAGAGTCTTGTTTTCTAGCATGCTACAACATCTGTTATCCCTATTTTTAAAAATTCTGAATAGCAATCTGTTTTGTCTAACTACTATCCCATTAGTCTTCTTCCTATCATAAGCAAAGTTTTTGAATCTTTAGTTAACAAATAATTAATCTCTTATCTTGAGTCTAATAACTTACTTTCTGATCATTAATATGGATTTCGATCTTCTTGTTTTACAGCTGATTTGTTAATGGTAATAACCGATTGATTTTATAGTGCATTAGATAGAGGTGGAGAGATTAAGGCTATCACTCTTGACATTTCTAAAGCTTTTGATAAAGTTTAGCATGTTGGTCTTCTTCATAAGCTTTTCTTACGATTTATCTGGCAACATATTTAAGATTATTGATTCCTTCCTTTCCAATTGTAGTATAAAAGTTGTCCTTGATGGACAGCACTTTTCTTCATATCCTGTAACTTCAGGGGTTTTTCAAGGTTCAATCCTTGGCCCTATACTCTTTTTAAATTGCAACAATGTTCTTCCAGATATTCTCACATCTAAGGTGGCATTGTTCGCTGATGACACTACCATTTATTCATGTCACAATAAGAAGCCAACTCCCCCTGATTGCTTGCAGTTGGCATTTGAACTTGAAAAGAATCTCACTTCTGCTACAGCTTGGGGCTCACAGTGGCTGGTGAAATTTACTAGGTTGGTTGAAAAGTTCGCGGAGCGGAAATGAAAAAACAATTTTATGATTCAAAAAATGACTTTATTCTTCAGTATATTCTCCCTTAAGAGCAATACACTTTTTCCAACGATTCTCCAATTCATGTATCCCATCTCTGAAGTGCGATTCCGGAAGGCCTTCAAAATACCCATTTACGGCTGCAATGACTTCTTCATGTGATGAGAAACGCTTTCCACGTAGAAATTTTTTGAGATGTGGAAAGAGGTGGAAGTCGGACGGAGCCAGATCTGGTGAATAGGGTGGATGTTCCAAGCGTTCGTACTTTAATTCGACCAATTTCGCCTTTGCAACATCGCTGATATGAGCAGGTGCGTTGTCCTGGTGATAAATGATTTTTTTATGCAGCAAACCAGGTCTTTTCTCACGAATTTTTTTATCCAACTGGTCCAAAAGATTTTTATAATATTCACCTGTTATCCTTTTACCGGTTTGAAGGTAATCTATTAATAAAATTCCTTTCGTATCCCAAAAAACTGATGCCATAACCTTCTTTGACGATTTTGACGCCTTCACTTGCTTCGGAGCTGAACAACCGGGTTCTGTCCACTCTGCAGTTTGTTGTCGCAGCTTCGGATCATAGTGGTAAACCCAAGTCTCATCCATGGTTACGAATCGACGCACAAAATCTGTTTTATTCTTTTGAAAACGGGCCAAATGTTCTTGAGAAAGTTTTACTCGAGTGCGTTTCTGATCCAGAGTTAGCGAATGCGGCACCCATCTTGCCAACAGCTTTCTCAGACGTAATTCATCGTGCAAGATGTGTAATACCCGTTCATCTGAGATGCCCACAGCCTCAGCAATTTCACGTTTGGTCAATCGTCTATCATCCATAACCATGTCATGCACAGCATTAATCGTTTCTTCAGTAGTAGCACTTTTTGGACGTCCAGAGCGAGGGTCATCTTCAAGGCTTGAACGCCCACGTTGAAACTCCGCAGCCCATTTGCATACTGTTGTTTTTGAAGGAGCATCATCACCCAACACATTTACCACTTCATTATGAATTTCCATGGGCTTTAAACCTTTTTTCACAAAGAATTTTATTACAGCACGATGTTCAATATTTTCCATTTTAAAAAATACTATGACACGTCTAATTTCAATAGCTTGTAAACAAAGACTGAAATGACATATCGACTTGAAATTTTTTATGCGTTCATACGAAGAATGAATACGTTTAATACAGTTATAAATTTTTTTCTACTACTGCAACATAGGTGCCGCTCTGCGAACTTTTCAACCAACCTAGTAATTTAGATAAAACTCAATTTTTTTCAGTCAATCATTATCGCAATAATTTAAACCTTCCTATATTTATGAACGGTAATGTACTTGATGAGTCATCTATCCTTCATCTTCTAGGATTAACTCTTACTTCTTATTTTCCTTGGAAACTGTATATCAAATCCATTGCAAAATAAGCATCTGCTAAGGTTGCATCTCTTTATCGAGCTCAATACTTTCTTACTCTAGATTCTACTCTTTATCTCTATAAATCTCAATTCCACCCTTGTATGGAATACTGTTGCCTTATCTGGGACAGATCTTCTAACGATGCCCTTTCTCTTTTAGACAAGGTGCAAAAATGCATTGTAAACATAATTGGACCTGTTCTTGCAGCCAACCTCCAACTATTATTACATTGTTATAATGTTGCTCCTCTTTCTCTTTTCTACAAATACTATATTGGGCACTGTTCTAAAGAACTTCAATTAAGTCTCATTTTTCTGTGACTGTTCCTAAGTGCTCCAAAAACTCTTATTTATTTAGTTTTTTTCCTCAAACATCAGGTCTTTGGAGTTTGCTTCCTTCATCTTGCGTTCATGATTCATATAATTTGCAATCTTTTAAGTTTTCTGTGGTTATCTTGCTTTACAAACTTCATATTACAATAAAGAATATAATTAATCACAATTAAGAACAGAACAAAAATATAAAAAAAGATTTAGTACCATCACAACCTTTAAACTGAAATTTAAGAACTAAAGGTTATTAGAATTTGAAAAATTAACTAAGTACATTCTGTCAGATATAACATAAAAATGAAACAAAAACTATTGCTGCTTTTTTTTTAAAAGTTATACATTTAATTAAACAACACGCAATTTAATTAAACAACACACAATTTAATTAAACAACACACAATTTAATTAAACAACACACAACTTAATTAAACAACACACAGTTAATTAAACAACTTTGTGAAATTATAAATAGAGTGATCAAAAATTAATTTGTGGTTCATTTATAAAGCAAAATATCTTTATTTACAAAAAGAATAAACTTTCAAAATAAAAAGCAAAAGGCTATGCTTGATTCTTGTTTAGTCTCCGAGCCCAGCATACCCATGAATATTTTTTAAACACCCTCTAGGCAATGGCTTAGCACACTGCCTAGAGGGTGTTTAACTGTTTCTATACCTTTTTTAACACACTTTTAAAAATTTGGTATACCCTTGGATAACCATTAGCTATACTAACAGGTATAACATTATAAATGATTATAGAAATTGTTATAACTTATCAAATTATAAAAATATTACCTTGAACAAAAGAAAAGTAGTTTAACTTAAAAAAAAAAACTATTATACATAATAAATTGTTGTTCCTAAAACCAAACCTTCAAAAAAAAAAAAAAAAATTACCTTATTTATAATTTCACTTCCTTTCTTTCTCCTAAATGTTTCAAAAACAACTATAAAACATTTGTAATATTATGTGTAAGTGTAAAACATATTTAATTTCCAAGTAAAAAAATACTAAAAACAAACAAATTGTTTCTGGAAAAATTATTAATTGATAATATTTTTTTTAACTTTGACTCTTTATTTTTTTAATCAAAATTTATTGTATTGTTGGTGATAGTGCTGGTGTGATGGTAGTGTTGATAGTGATGGTATTGCTGATGATGGTGACAATCTTGATGGTGATATTTTTGATGGTGATATTTTAGATGTTGATAGAATTGATGGTAATGACGCAAATAGTGTGGTGATTAATATGATATACTTTTAAAATGAAGGTTAGAATTAATAAATTATTCTGTTTAAAATCCATCATGGCTGCATAGATAAACAAGAGGGTATACCAATGTTGTTACACTAAGATATATATAACTACTTAATGTATAACTCATCAAAACAAACTTTTTTGAAGTAAAGACCTCAGTGATTATTATAAAAACACAAATATAAGTCTGCTTAACATTAACCACTAAACATATTTTAGCAATCAGAATGTTTGCTATCACAGTATATAATCAGAGTCTTGTTTTCCATCATGCTGGAAAGCAGCATCTGTTATCCCTATTTTCAAAAATTCCAGAGAGCGATCTGATTCATCTAACTACCGCCCCATTAGTCTTCTTCCTGTCATAAGCAAGGTTTTTGAATCTTTAATCAACAAACACTTAATCTCTCATCTTGAATCAAATAACTTACTTTCTGATCATCAATATGGATTTCGGTCTTCTCGTTCTACAGCTGATGTGCTAACAGTAATAACCGATAGGTTTTACCGTGCATTAGATAGAGGTGGAGAGGTTAAGGCTATCGCACTTGACATTTCTAAAGCTTTTGATAAAGTTTGGCATGCTGGTCTTCTCCATAAGCTTTCTTCTTATGGTGTAGCTGGTAACGTCTTTAAGATTATTGAGTCCTTTCTTTCCAATCGTAGTATAAAAGTTGTCCTTGATGGACAACACTCTTCTTCACATCCTGTAACTTCAGGGGTTCCTCAAGGTTCAATCCTTGGCCCTATACTCTTTTTAATTTACATTAACGATCTTCCAGATATTCTCACATCTAAGGTGGCATTATTCGCTGACGACACTACCATTTACTCTTGTCATGATAAGAAGCCTACACTCTCTGATTGCTTGGAGGGGGTATCTGAGCTTGAAAAGGATCTCACTTCTGATACAGCATGGGGCTCACAGTGGCTGGTGAACTTTAATTCAGATAAAACTCAATTTTATTCGGCCAATCGTTATCGTAATAATTTAGATCTTCCTATATTTATGAATGGTAATGTACTAGATGAGTCATCTACCATTCATCTTCTAGGATTAACTCTTACTTCTGATCTTTCTTTTAAACCGTATATCAAATCCATTGCAAAATTAGCATCTGCTAAGGTTGCATCTCTTTATCGAGCTCGACACTTTCTTACTCCAGATTCTATTCTCTATATCTATAAATCTCAAATCCGTCCCTGTATGGAATACTGTTGCCACATCTGGGGCGGATCTTCTAATGATGCTCTTTCTCTTTTAGACAAGGTACAAAAACGAATTGTAAACATAGTTGAACCTGCTCTGGCAGCCAATCTCCAACCTTTGTCACATCGTCGTAATGTTGCTTCTCTTTCTCTTTTCTACAAATACTATAATGGGCACTGCTCTAAAGAGTTAGCGTCCCTTGTGCCATCTACAAAAATTCATTCTCGTGTTACTCGCCATTCAATTAAGTCTCATCCT